ATTTTAGTTCCAAGGCGAACTCATACTGAGCTTTTCGAAGCGGTGTTACGAATATCAAAATGATGTGTTTGTTGTACACAAACCTTGCTTTGTTCTTTATCTGCATATTTTTGCAAATAATTGAACTAGGAAACTAACTAAATGAAAAGAAAACTTTCTTTAAATTTTCCGCAGGCATTCCGGAGAAGGGGGCAGGGTTGAACCCCAAAAACCCGTACCTGCGTTCGGGCGTGCCCCTAGTAAACTTTCTTGGAAAAATTTTTGTTGAATATTTTGCTCCTGGAAAGTACTTGCATTACTTGTAAATATAAACTTTTTTGGCTTAAGGGGTTTGATAAAATTATTTATCGTAATATTTCAGACGTACCAAAAATTAAAAAAGACGTGTTTTACGACGAAGATATACCTTCTAACTCAATAAAATTCAAAAACTTAGTAGGCCAATATTTCGAAATAATTACGTGATTGAACAAAACTGAAAATGCTGTTTATCTACATTTGAATATATGGAACTTCATGGCCGTATATCAGGTGATTCATCTAGACCTTTTTTTTAATTTTAAAGAAAACACTTAAAATTGAACTGGATGTTGGAATATTTGTTATTACCCGAAAGAACATTCTCTGACATTGGGCACGTTCAGAAGGCGCAACAGCTCAGTAACTGTTGCCATTGCACCTTCTGAACGCGTTGTTGTTTACTTCTGATCAACTGAACAGTTGCGTGTTAGATGATCGTAATATTTTTCTGATTATTTGAGACAACATGTTGTTGAGAGTTGAATTTGACAGCTAATGCATCAAGCCGTTCAGAAGACGCATAACGATCACTGATTTCTTTAGCAACGGTTGCGCTCAACTGCTGCGCCTTCTGAACCTACCCATTTACTTTTTAAAAATGATTTCCATCAAATGTAGGCCGCAGACAGAATATAACCGTCAATAACGAGCAATTCCGCACCTTTATAACGGCCCTTTGTTGCCTGAAAAAACATTTGGTTATGTGAAGTCAAAAGTCTTCGTCGATAAGCCAGCTATGATTTAAAACTTGGAAGCCCGTAATGCTGCAGAACGTAATCTAAAATTCCGAATGGACAACCTACAGCGTAATCGCGAACAACATTTGGATGAAATTATTTTTAAAAAGTAAATTTTAGAGAATGTTCTTTCGGGTAATAATAAAGATTCCGACATTCAGAATTTATTTAGGTTTTTTAAAAAAAGCCCTAAATGGATCACCCTATACAGATATCATCCTACTAGATGCATGTATTTTATGTTTATAAATTATATTTCTAACATTACAAAATTACACTAACAAGTAAATTAAAATATAGCCGGTGGAAATTTTGTTCAATGGATGCCA